ACCACTGAGGCACATTACACATGCACATCTCCGGGAAAAGGGGGCATCATAATTAAATAAAGCAAGATTGCCTATTAAAATGTCTTTTTGCTTTTAAAATAGCTGTAATGTCATTCATTTCTTGCAGGTGGAATTATCATAAAAATAATTTTTAAAAGCACAATATTTTTAGGCTCACGATTATTATGGATTATGTCTCAGGCAATTTACTTCAGTGACAGTGGATCAGTTTACTGATTTGTATATAAATAAGATCCCTTTTCTCATCCAGCTCAGAATAAGAGGATAACATTCTACATTTATAGCATTCACAGTTAGTCTACATTTAAAAGCTCTTAAGGGTCTATTTATGCTTAGTCACTTCAAGTGCTTGATCGATCGGACTGCAATTTGACTAGGTATGCACATTCTGTTTACATTTAACCACATAAATGTGTCTCTGCCAAACAGATACCCTTATGAAATATGCAGAAGTAATAGAGTTTAGTTCTGTGATTGATACAACCATTACCAAAAAACAAAGAAAAACATGCCATATTGTCTTTGGGACACCTAAACTTTCACATAGGGGTACAGATTATTAAACAGCAATTATTATTGTCATGTTTTGGCTGATAACCAATACAAGGCCAGTATTATAATACTGTTTAGTCTAAATGAAGTCAAAATGAAACATTAGAAACTACAATTTAAAGGAATAGTTCACCCAAAAATGAAAATTTGCTGAAAATTCAGACCTCAGACCCTCAGGCCATCCAAGATATAGATGATTTGGTTTCTTCACCAGAACAGATCTGGAGAAATGTAACATTACGTCACTTGCTCACCAATGCATTCTCTGCAGTGAATGGGTGCCGTCAGGATGAGAGTTCAAACAGCTGATAAAAACACAATAATCCACAACGTGACTCCAGTTAATGTTTTATGAAGTGAAAAGCTGTGTGTTTGTAAGAAGAAAATCCATCATTACAAAGTTTATATATAGTACAAATCTATCAATATTGCATTCTCCAGTGAAAAAGTAATCTATCTTAAATCAGGAGAAAAATATGCACAGATTAAGCACCATTTACAAGCAAAAACAGTCCAAAACAGTTCTAAACAATGTCTGTGGATTTTAATTATGGATTATGGAGTCATATTTTGGAAGTGAAGCGACAGTTAAAGTTAAAATGCCTTGATGGATCTGTTTCATACAAACCCACAGCTTTTCACTACACAAGACATTAACTGATAGACTGAAGTCATGTGGATTACGTGCATTATTGTAATTCCTTTCATTTTAAACAAACATCTGCATCTCGGATGGCCTGACAGTGAGTACATTTTCAGCAAATTTTCATTTTTGGGTGGACAATTCTTTTAACCATGTTAAATGCTAAAAGCAATTTAGGCAGCCACAATATTATAATTTACAAAATGAAAAAAATACTAATTTTGAGATTTGCTAATGGTTATGTTTCACAGTGTTATAGAAATGTTATGTTTTTAAAGATTTACTTTAAGTGAGCAGTAAATGAAGGCAAAGGTATTGTGAATATAAAAAATTGTCATGCGGGAAAAAAAATATATTGTAAAATAATAATTCTCTCGATTTACTAAATCATTTTGATTTAACTAAAATGGGGGAATAAACAATTTCTTTCCAATGGATTTTAAAGCACACATTTTGTTTCTTTTCTTACTCTGTAGGTGGGCAACAACAATAAACCTTGATGGGAAGCGCTTTGAAAGTGTTTTTCCATTGTGACTCTCCCTGTCATGCCACATTTAAACAAGTGTGAAATTATGGCTTCATCAGCCTCTTATCCGCTTTCTTTAGTATGTACTGATTCAGACACCACTCACAACAGTAAACGGCCACCCAGACTCACAAGTCTTTGACATCGCTGTGATTTAGCCAATTTATTGCCTTTGGACTGCAGCTTGGGTTCGAACAGATTCACCTGCTGTGTGCATAGAGTAGTTTGTGTTTGTAAACTCGCTATGTTTTCTAGGCAACTGTCATAACTGTTTTGCAGCATGGCATTCCAAGACTGAAGTGCTATAAATCAGACACACACACTTGCCTTCCATCCAGTTATTCCCTCCATGCTCATTGTCTCTCTAACCTCGTCCCTTTAAACGCCATCATTTCCCTTCCCCCTTAACCTCCTCTTTGAACCTTGTCCTTTTTGTTTTGCCCCTTCTCTTCTCTCATCCATTGTCATCACCTTCTTTTTATTTTCTCTTCATTCTTTCAATCATTTCTTTTAAATGATTTAAGCTTCACATAACTACTTTCTCTTTTCTGAAACTCAAATTGAAATTCAAATGATCTTGCTAAATATATCACTACTTGTTTTTCGGGCTTTCTGATTCCCTTTCCCTCCTATTTCATAGCCATGGAAACTAAGGGGGACTGGAAAAGCAAACAGGTAACCCATGGCAACAAGGGAATTGAGGGGTTCAGGCTGAGTCACCCATTGAGCTGCCTGAAAAAGTTGCAGTTTTATCGGACACAGGTCCCTCGACACAAGTGTCAGAGATAATAAACAATCAGGCAGGCAGTTTTGATATGTCATACTCCTTTATTGTATCATTTGAAAAAGTTCAAATGATCAGATTTTAAAAGAATAATTTTTTGTATAAAATTTTTTTTTAAAGCAGTTTTCTTAAAATATTTTTTCTCCCTAAGAAATAATAAAAAAGATGCCTAACTACTCAATAAAATTTTATTTTCACGAATTTCATTCTTTTAATGAGGCTTTTTATTTGTTATAATATCAGGACAGCTATATTACCCTGATTCATATCATTTCAACTTTTTTATATTTTATTTGATATATAAAAATGAATGCATGTTCATCATAGAAGAGATGTATTCAAGTCATTGTGTGTATGCATTTTAATTAGTGCTGTCAAAATTAGCGCGTTAACGCAGGTGATTAATTTTTCCAGTTTAACAGCGTTTAAAATATTTAACATCATGCTCAGCAGCAGCAGTTATTGAAAAGAGGAAAGCAATAACTTATTTAGCTTATTGAAGGATTCATATATACTTAATCTAGAATTTAGTAGCCTATTTGATAACTTTATTCAATTTCTGCATATTTCCTACTTTAATGGGTTTACGTGAAGATTGTTTTAAGTTCACTTAAATTAGAAGTTGTTCTTTTTTAAAGTCTAATAAATGCTCAATTACACTGTAATGTTGAATGGCTATAGTCAATGGTTAAATATTAAGGGGAAAACATTACTAGAGACATCAGTAGTATTGCTATCAATGATACTCGCCTTCATTCATAAAAAAAGATGGCATTAAACAAATGTAAAAAATATACAGTCTTTATGTTGTTTCTACATTAATTTTAAGATCGCATGTGGAAGTATTGCCATATTAAAGTATATTTAAAAACTTTAATGTTAGGTGGGATTCATTGCGATTCATTTCAGAAACAAATGTGTGATTAATCAGTTAATTTTTTTTATATCTATTGACAGCACTATTTTTAACGTAACGGTATTTTTAGATAAATTAATAGGTCCAGACAAAAATAAAAATGTGCGACATATCGTTGACCCTAATATAGACTTCAAAAATGGTTATTGGTGTCAAGTCACTGTATTTTAGGCTTATGACTATGCAAAAATTCATAAAGCTTGTTCAATTTAATCCAGCATTCCCCTATAACAACAAACAAGCTTTCCAGACCAAAAAGAAAGTCCCAAACATTGATGGAACAAACACAGATCATGTCTGACAGAGGCGAATCTAGAGGGACACAAGCTCGACACATGGTCGTAAAAAATGTGAGGTTAGGATTGGCAGGAAAAACTCTGTTGAGGCCATAGCGTGTCAGTCTGCAAAGCATTCCAGATGTGCCTTGGATATACTTGTATCCATTTTTATAAACCTAGTAAACAGTGACTAGTGTTTTCTCACACTTTTGATCGCATAAAAACCAAGTCACAAAAAAGTAACTAAACCTCTTTCCCTTTAGCCAGTTTTCTCTCTGTATTCAACAACTGTTTAGTTCAGCAACACAGACACGGTCTGTCAGGAGTAATGAAATCAGCAGGAAAAGCCAGAGCAACAGTCTAAAAAGAGGCTCAAAACAGTTCGGCTCCCAACATTTGGCCTCTCTTCTCCCACACAAGCCCAATCACAGTTTATTTCACAGAACTTGATCCACATGCAGCTGTATGTATCAATGCTGAATCCCAGAACACTAATGTTATACGGTATCTAGAAAGCACTGCATGTCCTCCTTTCCGACTTTAGTCAACTTCCAGACTGCTTTAAATCAAATCAATGACTCAGGACACACAAAACAAGGGCCACTTGCTCGGTAAGTCTAATTTATAGATTTGATTTAAAGTAATTTCATTATTTTGCTCAAAGGGATCATTTTGGGATCAAAAATGTACCAGTGTTTTCTGTCCATATAATGCAAGTCAATGTTGTTTTGGATCCCATTGACTTTCATTACATGGACAAAAACAGTTGAAACTTTTTTTTTCAGACAAAAAATTCAACTTTTGTGTTCTTTAGAAGAAAGAGGGTCAGTTTTGTGAGATATGACGTGACATGACATGTGGTGACTCATTCTCGGAATTAGTGCTCTCCATTTATCCCATCCTAAGTGCACGCACACAGCAGTGAACACACACACCCGGAGCAGTGGGCAGCCATTTTTATGCTGCGGCGCCTGGGGAGCAGTTGGGGGTTTGGTGCCTTGCTCAAGGGCACCTCAGTCGTGGTATTGAAGGTGGGAGAGAGCGCTGTACATTCACTCCCCCCACCTACAATCCCTGCCGGTATGAGACTCAAACCCACAACCTTTGGGTTACAAGGCCAACTCTCTAACCATTAAGCCACGACTTCCCCTTAACTTTTGGAACGACGTGAGGGTTAGTTAATGATTCCTTTTTTTTTTCTTCTTTTTTTTTTGGGTGAACTATCCCTTAACAACTCTTTCTGAACACACACTTCTCAGTGTCACAGTCAAATCTCTTACCTGCGACTCGCACAACTGCCCTCTCTGCGGGGTCCAGCACTGAGTCCTGGCTCTTGCGCTTGCGTCTCTCATGTTTGGATAGGTTCCATGGCAGAGTGTCCCCTTTGGGCCCGGCTGTGCTGTGGGCGCAGGGCGAGAGAGAGCCCCCAGACCTCTCGCTGCGGAACGAACGCTCACTCACACACGAACGTTCACTCAGGCTCTCCTCGTCTGAGGAAGACATCTTGCCAGAGGGCTGGGAGGAGGTATATGAGGGGTGGCAGGGTAAAAAGGGAAACAGAAATAAGGTCAGGATGGAAAGAGAAGCGTGTAAGTGTGTGAGATGTATAATTCATTACCCATAGGACAACGTACTACTACTATACACCAGAGAACATGAGTAGAAAATAAGGCCGGATTTGTGAGAACATATCATTTGAACACTCTGCAATAAAATGAAAGTAAAAGAGATGAAGGCAGATGCTTCTGGAGATCAGGTGAACAGCGCTGACTCACTTCAACAATGATGATCGAACTCTCTTTTCAGTCACGGTACTATTAAAACAGTTCCTGATCAGTATTGGACATTGCATTTGGCCAGACCTCTCTGATGTGCATTCCTCTGTGATCAGCTGGAAGGAATGGGGCCCAAGGGGGCTAGAGTAGGTTCCTGTCCGTCACATTACTCCACACCAGCTGAACTCCTCAATATAAGTGAGCTCAGTGAAAGCTGTCTGGAGATGTGCCCCCCTGTCCAATCTACTCACTGCATTCATGAAAGGCTTGCTAGAAGAGCTATGGCTACTCTAGGACAGTATTTATATATTTTTTATATTTAAAATATTCATATATTTTATATATATTGATAGACATTATATATGTGTTTGTGTGTGTGTATAATATATATATATATACAATTGCAACTGTATTTTTCAATTATTTTTATTATTTTATTATTCACTAAAATTCTTAATTAAATAAAGTATCTGAATTAATTGCAAATAAGGGTGTCCAAGATGATGTAAAAATATATATTTATTTTTAAAGATTTAGTGTAAAATGCACATCTAATTCTTGCTCTGTATTTGTGTTGGTGTCATATGGTTTTTTAAAGCTTTTATACCATTTTCAACAAATGCTTTGATTTAATAACTCTAGAAATGTGGTGGAACCAGGGTCGTTGTCGGGGGGACAGCTGGGAATGTTGTCCCAGGCCGTATGATGAGTGGGTTTTCTATGGTATAGCCTTCGAATTAAGTAGGGGGGAAGGGGGTTGGCACATTTTTTCCCCCCAAGGCAACACTTTGGGTGTAACCATAAATATTTTACAACATTTTTCTTGAATTCATTTTCATGAATTTTTGATATTTAACCACAACAATGGAAAGACACTTTTATCAAAATTATCCTCTATTTCCTTAAAAATAGTTAAAATATTTTTTTCTATTTTATCATACAGTAAATTCATATATACGTATGTATGTATTTTTATTTTTTTTACTTTTGATTAATCCTTTGTCCTGTGACCCAGTAGATATAAATGGATGGATTGATGGATGGATGCATATTTTTTCCCCAAATATTACTAGTTCTATTTCTTTAAAAAATACTAAAATAATAAAAAGAATATAGTAAATTACTTCTTGATTTATATTTATGTCTTCATGCATTTTTCTTTCTTTCAATGATTCTTTTTTTTCTTTTTCCATTTAGGTATTAGTTCATTATATTAGAAATAATCTGTATAATATCGTCTAGCATGTTGCTAGAATGTCATTTACTGTAGCTCAAACTGTAGCGCAACTTCAGGGTCAAAAGTTTGATTTCCATATAACAAATAAGTTGACAAAATGTATCTTTGTACGTTGTATTAATGAAGCGGGAGTTGCTTTGGATGAAAAAGTGTCAGTAAAATGCATAAATGTAATGTTGATGTGAACGAGTCTGTCCTGGAAACCATTTCTACATATCAGAAAGTGTATATTCCCTGCATACAATCAGATATGTCCTTTACTGCTTCTCGAAAGCAGGACTAAGTTCACTCAAAACCATGTTGCTGAAGCTAGATCTCTTAGCCATCCCGCTGTTGCCTGACAGCATGCAGTTAGTTCAGTGGCAGCCAACAGATATAAATAGAGGCAATGCTGTTTTCAAAACCTTGCTATGTCATTATGCCTGTGAAGGAAAAGGGAGGAAAGTACTGCTCTCTTTTACATTATTTCATCTCTCATTTCTTTCCTACCACCACACTGAGTAAGTTCACAACAGCTGAATGCACCCAGTGCACTGACAAGAGTGCTGTTGTGTTGATTTAAAGTCTCTGTGCAACTGGGTCTGCATTTGCACAAAGAGTCTGGCTTCCCACAATGTTGGCCAAGCACATCCCAGAACAGCCTTGTTATTGCACCACTGCTCCATTTCCCTTCGAGAGAAATTACAAGTTTGTGGAACAGAGGCTGGTGGCATTTGTTCTCTTGCTGTGTTTATACAATATGTGCAAAGATGTGTTCATGTGCATTCACCCATGAGGATAGAAGCATCTGCTATGAGTAACACTGACACATCACTATAGACACACTCACTCAATAATGACACTTGCTGGGAATGGTTATGGAGGAGGGGATCTTATCATAGCAATAAATAATGGCTTTGCATTATTCAGAGCACTGTGGGCATTTAGGCATTAGTTCTTATGGAAAATATGACATTTATCATTCTGCACGTTTAGAGCAGTTTGTGCCTTTATATATTAGGGGCTCTAAATTGGTTTTGCTTCAGGGCCCATCAAAGTATGGACCAACAAAAAATTCTTAAAGGAATAGTTCACCCCAAGATGAAAACTCTGTCATCATTTACTCGCCCTCAAGTTGATCCAAACATGTTTCTTTCTTCTGTTGAACATAAGAGAACATATTTTGAAGAATGTTGGCAACCAAATGGTAGCCACTAAGTTGCACAAGTCAATGGCTACAGACCACTGTTGATGACAGAGCTTTCATTTTGGGGTAAACTATCGCTTTAAAACCTTGTTCTGCTGAAAATCCTTTACCTAATTTGTTGTCAGTCAAAAATGACCAGCCTTTTTAAAACTGCTTGTAAATCTCTCATTATGCTAAATTATCACAAAATCTTGTCAGCTTGTTTTCTTTCAGCACAGGTTTTATATTTCTTTTGTAGCAATGATAATTTTGGCAATATTCACTCAAAACTGAGGTGCATAAACTCAAAAGATCAATAATGCCTACGATCAATCAGTTCCAAAAAGAAATACAAAAACCTGTGCTAATTCAAACAAAACAAGGTGATAAAAAGATTGAATCCAATATTTGGTATTAATACAGCATAACAAACAAAAAAAGTAAATAAAAATTATAAGCACATTTTTGTAGGCTGGTAAACACCATAAAAATAAAAATAAATGACCGAAACATAACATGAGGATTAAAATAATCACTGAAATGCATTAATTTAGCATAATATAATTACATTGTGGTAAACACAAACTTATTTTTGTTGTGAACCCATATTTAATGTAGTCTAGGTTGTTGTTATTCTATGGTTAGCTGCATTATGTTACTTTCATTTAGTTTCGTTTTCACCCACTGTCCACAGAAAAGACCTGTGGCCCATGTTTTTGGTCGAAACCCACCAGTTGAAAACCACTGATCTATTTCAACAAATCTGACCTGGGAAAATGCCCTGCAAAAGACAGACACAGTAAATATAAAGTGCTAAAATAGACAATCCTGCTTGCAAGGAAAGTAGCATTTTTTGATTACTGGCTAAAATGTTTGATCGGATTTAATTAGTGCTGGAGTCTATTAAATAAAATCACAAGACATGCCGCAATCACAGACACTATTTGTTCTATTTTTGAGGTTTTGCATGTTTGCCAAAAGGCAGTAGCTACAATAAGCCCCATTTGATCAGATCAAGGATGGATTACGTACCAGGCCAATGGGGCCAGTGCCTGAGGCCTCTAACTGTCAGGAGCCTCGAGATGTAAAACCCATGTATGGACAATGCTTGAATGTGATGTAAATTAAGGAATTAGGAATATTATCAGTGCCTCTGAACACTTTTCTGCAGCTTTGATGTCGTAATTGCAACGTCCTGACTTTATAATATTTGTTATGTAATAATTTATTATTCAGACTTAGCATGTCACAAAAACTGTGAGGGGCTCGTGCCCCAAACCTTGCACCATAATTTTTTTTAATGAGATGTGATAACTTCAAAGCATCTAAATGTATCTTTTGGAATGTCTGAAACTGAAATGAGCAGAATGGTTACACTCACACAGCAGGCAAACATGGTGTATGTGCATCTCTATAGGAGCACAGGGCCAGAAACCATCTGTGGATGTTGTTAGAAATAGCCTTTACCCACTCAACCTTCTGTACTTTCACATTTTAGCCCAGGAATGGTTGTGATTACGTAAACCCATTGAGCACAAGCCTTTTGTTCGTCTCTCGAAGACATGAATGAATATTCACCATTTATGAAGGGAAAGACATGTGCATAGATTCATAAATATTTCCCTAGGAACGCCCCTTCTTTCAACACGTACCACTACCACAGCAAAGTGATGGAAAATCCGACTCATTTCGCGGATCGGTTCTTTCGAGCAGTTCAACAGTTCAATGAATCGAATTTAGCGGCGCTTTACGTCATGACGGAATTATTATTGTTCAAGTTTCTGTATTTAGCTCACAAACTGGTCAGTTGTATGTAAAGACAAGATCTGCATGTGAAACGCTAAAGTTAATAGGCTATACTATAACCACCATAGTTTACATTGAACGTTTTGTGTACTTTTTCTAAAGATACGATTTATTCAAAACCAAACTCTAATACAATTGCCAATCTTTCAATAACCATATTTCCTACGTCTTACTTGAAACATTGTCGGTGTGTTGTTGATTCAACCGCTCGGGCGGATTCAGTTCGTTGACGAATGTGTGAACCGACTCACCAGAACCACTGAAAGATCCGACTCCAGAGAACGATTCGTTCACACATCAGACATCGCTAGACCGTAATGTGGCGGAAACCGAGGAGAGTGACCACAGAGGTGTGCACAGCCTCTTTGTCCAAACACACTGAAGAACGGGCTGTCTATAAAGACCCATTCATCCGGGCGTGAGATGAATACATCTCAGAGAGAATTAAGCACTTCCGATGCCCGGTTATTCAATGGAAATGAGGATGCTTGCAGGAAATCTAGGGTTTTTACGTATAATGTTATCATATTCAAACGCTAACATTATAACAAACACTAGAAGCTAAAATGGTGACACAGATATTATAAGAAAAAACGATGCTTATCGTCGAAGCTGACGGACAGAATAATGACGGGCATTTGGACCTTCTTACCGTATAACGGCAGTGTGCCCGTTTCCGCACGCAGGGTGACAGAGGCGGAGATGCGCTGGCTCTCAATCCCGACAAACACGCCTCTCAGCCGGCCACGGAAACACTGACTCTCGGTCCGTTTTGCACCGACCCGGTAGACAGAGGAGCAGTATGGAGACTGTGATTCGGTAATGGCTGTCTATTCCCCTCCTTTCATATCCCTCCTTCTCTCCCGCTCTCTCTTTCTCCGGCCCCCTCCTCCTCCTCTTCCTCACTCTTCTTTTTTCATCCACCCTTAAACCCAACCCTCTTTAATGATTATGATGGTTTTTTAATAATGCTTCATTATGAGCATTACATAAAAATCACACAAGACTAATCAAATTCAATCAAAATTCCTATCAATTTAATCTAATAATCTCATTGCAATCTGAAATTCAATATAAGGGTACACAATTTTTGTTAACGCAACAAGATGCACAAACTTTAAATGTAGTTTTTAATATGACAAACATTGCATTTTTTGCAATGCTTGTCATATTAAAAACTACATTTACATGCTTCTTTTTCAACAGTGATGGCATAATGCAATAATAAGCACCTGAAACCAGTGATGGTTTAAAAGATGGTTTGCTGCTCTGCCAGTCTGGACTCTTGACTGGTCTTAGAGGGGGTTTTTCACACTGGGAGACCAACCAGACCAGCTGACAAACAACTTGACCATGGTTGGAGGACCAGCTAAGAGCAGCAAACCAGTTTAGACTATCAACAAGCATCCTCTGTGTGATAAATGTGGCCACATACACTAACATTTCCAAGATTTCTCCTTTCAAACACACTAAATACATAATTTATTTATATTTTGTTTTGTTTTGTAGTCACCTATAAAAAGAATAAAAGCATAATAATGAATCTGTCTGACCTGGTTGAGCTGCAGTGGAATTCAGTGCGACAGAGCAGGATTAACTGCAAACAAAACCCATCACAGAGGAGCAGCCCCCCTAAAAATACCAGTGGACATTCTTTCTCAAATTTTAACTCTAGAAAGATTATCATCACGTGAAGACAAACAATATCTAAAATGACGTCAATTTGTATAGAGCCAGCTTTTGACCTTACACAGGCTAAACTGAACCCATGTGATGCACGGCTTCAGTCCACTCGACTTTACATTTGACCTTTACTCAGACAACTGTTCTAGCGTCTCAACAGAAATATCTAGCAGTTTATGAACCACATTCATCCAATTATTCAAGCAGTTTATAAGCCATACTTATCCATTTATTTGCAAAAACGTCTCGGTAGTATAAAAGTAATTTCCCAGTTGTGCCATTTCTAGTGTGATGCTTCATTTATTAATTTTAGATCAACAGTTCAAGTTAATTGAAGCTCAAAAATAATGTTGTTTTTTTTACTGCCACCTACTGACCAACATACCAAATATCTAATCTTGGCAATGTGATTGGGATGTCAAATGGATTGATGTATTCATATTAAGCTTTCAGCTGGAAGCTGTCCCATGGGAAGCTTAACCACACCACTTAAAGACAGTTGCATTCAGTTCAGGCTCAAAACCAGATTGAATATACTGTACCAAACGTTACAAATAATCAGATGGTCTCATGCTACCTAAAAGATCAATTCAAGCTTTTAAATTAACAAATAAATCATTACTATAAATATATGAAGAGTTCAGATGCAAAAGCCTCTAAGTGCCGTCTGAAATGTTCTACTAAAATGAGCATCTTTCTCAGGCTCCTGTGTGTAGGTTCAGTCATTTCACTTATATAGCAATGTAATGGTTCTTTTCATTGCCATTAAAGTGAAATAACTGAACATAAACACAGGAGCCTAAGAAAAATGCTCATTTTAGAAGAAAAATTATCTTCATATATATATATATATAGTAATGATTTATTTTAATTTACATTTTTAGATATGTTTATTTTAATACATGTGTGTGTATATATATATACACACACACCTTAATATGTATTAAAATAAACTTATAATCTAAATTAAAATGTTGAAAAACACACACAAAAAAAACAAGATGTGAGCTAATCATATTTCTTTGTCCTCCTAAATGATAATTTTTCTTACTGAAGAACATACTGTTCTGCTAATTTCTGCCATCATAATACAAATTATGGTTAATGTAATATATTAATATTCCCAATTTTTTGATAAAAAGACAAATGTCTGAAAACAAGCAGCTTTGTCATAATGACAGCAGAAATATTGTAGCTTATGGGGGACCTTTGAATATTGTGCTTTTGAATAAAAAAAATGTTGAGAACCACTGCATTATAATCAATTAGGTTTCAATAATAACTTGTGTAGCTCTTTCAGAGAAGCACACAGCCATGTCACAAGAAAGAGAAGTTGTTTAAAACAAAAAAAACTATGAATATCTAAAACTGAATTATTTTTAACCTACGAAATTATAGAATTATTCAATGGAGTAGAAGCATTACCAGATATATTTTTGAAGAATGTTTTGGTGATTATTGACTGAAAAAAAAAAAAAAACTCAAAATATCTTCTTTTGTGTTCCACAGAAAAAAGAACGCCATGAACAACATGAGGGTGAGTAAATGATGACAGAGGGACAAAACGAACTGTCCCTTTAAAACTTGTATTACATATTTACACTAAATGATATAACAGACAGTGTACAGACACTAACAATTACACAGAATCATTATATTTATTTCACAAACATTAAACAATGTTGATACAGCAATAATATTATAAAACACAAGTGAGGAAGCAACTGTACAACAGTTTGACTGTGTTGAGAGTGATTGTATAAGGTTGGATTCAGGGCCGGGCCTCCTCATTGCCTCCGTGGTGTGGAGGGGGTGTGTAAGTTCCCTCTTTAATCATCTTCTCCTTCTGCTTACGGACCTCATATAAGCGCTGTTGCTGTAAGAAGTGATAATAGTGTTAGCAATGTAAAGAACCTCAGATACATTGCTTGAATATTTCCGAATGTGCTTACAGTCTTTCGGCGGTGCATGCACTCGTAGAAGTCTTCCAGCTCTAGTTTGCATTCCTTTTTGGCCCGGGTCTGGCCGATGCTGTGGGCGCACTCTATCCACTCCTTCTCAAAGGCATGGCAGCGAGCGACCCGCTTCTGTGGCTGTTCCCCGCTCTGAGCCAAGAGCCACTGGTCCAGATTAATACCCAGCCTTGACTGGAGGTCAACGAACGGCATGATTCTTGGAACTGAAAATAAACATTTCATGTAAAACAAATGCAATAATGCATTCAAGCTTAAGAACACCGAACAAAGCTGTTATTCATTTTTATATTAAATTACTCCTCAAGGTTTAGAAATTGCTAGAACTTTAAATAAAGGAAATCAAGCAAAGTGGTCATATGCAACTACTGAATATCTCCAAAACTTGTTTATTATTGACATGCGACATGTTGATATGTTTATTGTTGACAGCAGACATGCCTAAATTATTATTCCATATATTATAGCCACATGGTTTTATGAAGGTAAATTTAAAACTTTTTAAAGACCTTTTCAAGACCACATAAATAATATTTAAACAATAATCTTAAAGGGGTCATATGATGCGATTTCAATTTTTCCTTTCTCTTTGGAGTGTTACAAGCTCTTGGTGCATAAATAAGATCTGTAAAGTTGCAAAGACTAAAGTCTCAAATCCAAAGAGATATTCTTTATAAAAGTTAAGAGTCAGCCACGTCTACCTAAAACGGCTCGTTCTAACACGCCCCCACATATCTACATCACTATGTGGGAAGATTTGCATAACGCCGCCCAAATGTTCACGCAAAGAAAGGCGGCGTAACTTTATTCTCGCTGTAGTATTGTTGATGCTGCAGCCATGTTGTGAATGCGCTGTGTGTTTCGTTGTGAAAGCGAAACTACTTTGTTTGGTCTTCCAAAAGAGGACGATATCCGCTGCACCTTTAAGGGAACACATTATGTCAATGTTCCCAAATGAATTAACAACAAATGGTTAAAAACTACGAAACAAGCCTCCATTATTTTTTAATTCATTTCATACACACACACACAAACAGAATACTTCTGTTCCCAACAACTCAAATATGGAAATAACTATAAACTTTCAATGTACATGCAAAAACATTATGTTTGTTTCTCAGTGTTTTTAAAAAAAATGTTCCTGTGCAAATGTTCCTTAACTTCAAGACTAAGGACACAAGAAGTTTTCTGAGAAACTGATGAGAAAATGTATTGAGTTTATGATTAAAACAAGAACAAACATCTGCCAATGGGCTCAGAAAAATCTGAAGAGAAAAGCTGAGCGCTGACAGATGTTTTTTTGTCTTAAGTATAAACTCACTTGGTCAGTTTCTCAGAAAAAATAATCAAATAATAATAATTACTATTTTTATTTGGCATCTCAAGTAAATGGATCTTGATTTAAGAAACTTTAAACATTTGTATTGTAAACCAAGTTTTTTTTTTTTTTTTTTTTTTTTCCGTACATGAAAAACCAAAACTATCAACAACTAACCCTAAACCAAACCCTAATCCTACCTGTAACCCTTTAACATTAATATTACGCAGTACTTCAATATATAATTACACTGTAACAATGACACCTTCAAAAAAAGGGTTACAGTGTAATTATACATTTACTGAGTAATAATAATGATGGAATAATGATGCTGACAATTCAGCTGTGCCATCAGAGTAATTTTACAATTTAAAATATATTCAAATATAGAGAAAATAGTTATTTAGAACTGTAATAATATTTCACAATATTACTGTTTTACTCAAATTAAATGCAGCCCTGGCGAGCATAAGAGACATTTTTCAGAAACATTATACAATCTTGCTAATTCCTTTTGAACGGTAAAAAACATTACAAAAAGCTCTATACTCCAAATGTTTGACCAGCAGTGTTAAATATACATAACATTTTAGTACTTTGTATATTAAAACATAACTTTATAGTAATGAGTACCATTAATGAGTTAAATACTTGTAGTGTATAGGTGGATCATATCAATATTGCTGTGACAGACACTTCCTCAAGATAGAATTTTGTGCTTCATTTTCTCACGATTTCCATACATTGTACTGCACCGGAAGCTGTGGTTGCCACTGAGGCTAAATGCAGAAGCAATTGTCTATAGTGTCCATTACAATGAACAGGAACTGAAGCTTAAGCTTCACAAAGGATGCAAAAGCACCAGAGAATTATAAAATCATATAAGTAGTCTATACAGTCTATTCACGAGCATGGCTAGAATATTCCCTAAAAATTCACCTTTTGTGTTAAACAGAAGAGAGAAATTCTAATGATTGAGAAAAAAATAGTCACAAATCTGCAGCAAAAATGTCTCCAAGTGATCTATAACTATTTTCTATATACATTCCATTGTAGTAAAACATCTAAACGTTTGGTCACATTAGCTCAATTTTAACAAAAAAGCTCCACTATTGTTATTAGCTGACACAGAAGTCACTTTCAAACCAACCGGATTTCTCTTGGTCAGTGCAGCGAATCTGCATGAACAACTTGAACATTTTGTAAAATCTGTGTGTAAATCTTTCGCAAAATTCCCAATTGTGTGTACTACTATTGAAATCACTGGTTTTTACCTCTGAAACATTAACATTACCATCATGTAAGGATATCATTTGTAAATCGCTTTGAATAAAAGCATCTGCTAAACGAATACATGTAAATGTAAATGATTTCAGGAATACTCACCCACGCTGACAGCAGCGATGACTGGAGCCGTGATGACTGACAGAGCCACACCACCAGTGATAGCGAGATTCCTCCTGTGATGGGACGTTTTCTTGCCCTCATAGTGTGAGTGGATCTGTGACAAACAGCAGCTGTGTTACTGCACTGTCACAAATGTGCTTTTATCTGCTAAAATCTCATCTAGTGGCATCCTAAAGCTTCAAAATCGGAATCAAATCTTTGAAACAGAACAAAATGTCTTTTGTAGCATGGAAATCATGTTTAATGGCCACTCTGTATCCTACACCAGGAAGTCATGTTCAATATCAAAAGCAATTAAGCTGGTTGAGCAACACGGCTGACTTGAGGGAAATTCCCAGGCTTTTTAAGGGATGTTCTCTTCCTGATTGCAGCTGATAAATGTTTCCATATTAACCTAAACTGTAACGTTGTAGAGAAAGGTGTGATGTTGGCACTCCGCACCTTGCGTCCAATGTAAACAGGAAGGCCGATAACCATAGCAGGAACTGCGATGCCAGCGATTAGAGTGATGCCCACCGGTGCACCAATCAAAGTGCCCAGCTGCCACAGAATCTTCTTCTTGCGACTCCATGGCTTCTTTCCCCAGAACGTACAACCTGATGGACTGAGAAGACACAGAATATTATTATTTTTCGATTCGAGCAAGTAGTTATTAGAGATATTCCCACTGATGGGTAGCAGAAGGTACCTGAGGTAGTGCAGGTCTGAAATCTCCTTCATACAGAGCCAGCAGAACTCCGAGCCGCAGACAGCACAGGTCATGTGATTACAGCTGCCATCGTTCATCTTGATGATGTAGGCGCCGCATCGGGGGCAAGGCTTGATGTCATCATCTGAGTGGGGATTAGAGGGTTGGGATTTAGAATTGCTGTAAACAATGTGTGCTGAGGAAGCGCTTTCTGAATGCCAGACAGGGAATAAGAGACGTTAGCAGACTCCTGCTGGAATTCAGGAGAGAAGCTAGACAGAACTTGAGGAGGAGGAGGAGGAGGAGAGACAGCAGTCGTTTAGGGAAAGAGAAACTTCAATAATCTGCAGTGAACACTGAAGTGCACAAAATGAAAGCACTCAAGGGGGAAGCACACAGCAAATCAAATGATATGAGTGGCACTCTGAAACACAATAAACCAGACAGAAAGCACACTAGAGTTTTGAGTTTATTTTTATCCACTAATTCCGACGTGATAAACACTTTGCGATACGTACTTAACAGAGTAAACAGTGAAGGACTAATATACTACTGCCTGCAGCAAAACATAAACTAGAATTGTACATTTTCTGAATAAAAATGTGAATGCCGCTTGTATGTGCAAAACGTGATCCAGTGATTTGTTTTGCTGCTATGTGCTTGTGCGATCAGGGTGGTTTCTAGTGGGATCTAAGAGGTCATTGCTATGTTTTTGCTAAAGTGATTTGGGTGGTTTCTAGTTTATGTGTCAAAATGCCCATCTTTGCAAGTATACTCGTAAACACAGTAAGTGAAAGCAAACAGCTGAGAAACAAAACATGTGTAACAGTATATTGGATCTGGGAAGCTCTTAAAGTGACAGCAGTCTAATATGCCTGCTGTCTGTCATCTTTGTTAATCAAACAACAAAAGAGAGAAAATCTCTCACTGCTCTCGACTAAATCAAGTTTGTAACTTTAATAGGAAGTAATATATATTTACTTTACAAAGTGAAAAATATGCAGTGTTTTTATACATTTGATTACTTTATACAATGCATGTAGCCTTTTTTATTTATTTGTTCTACTGTAGTTTTTTTGTAGTTCTACTGCTTGTAATTACTTTCTTATTCTTATTTAATCGCTGACAGTTTACTTGTCTTCAGTAAGCTTGAGTTTTTTATTTTTTTTAATTTAGGCTAGTATTCTGTGATATTGACACTGGTGACAAGAATGATGAAATTTCTATAGTATCAAAAAATTTTATATCAAAAAGGCAATGAAATGATAAAATGAATCATTACCATGAAATAAAATGACTCATATTGTGATATAAGATTTTGGTCATATCACCCACCCCTAGTTTCTAGGGCGTTGCTATGTGATTGACTCCTTGCCCAGGTACAAAGAGCCTAACCCCAAATGATATAACAGTCTCTCTCTTTTTATGGGACATAAAAGAGTGGTTGGCTGCTGGTTAAACACTCACTGTGTCCCTGCTCGGCTGTGTAGCTGGGTGAATGGTTACTGTGCGTTCTCAAGGACAGCGCCCTCTGCTGGCGGGCCGAGTCACAGGTCTGGTTAGGATGCCAAACTTGCTTGCAGTGGTAACAGAACTCAGCACCACACCCTTCTCTTCGACACACCAGTCTGGGGCAGCTGGCACACCCAGAGGCAATGACTGCGAACCTGGCAGGAGAACAATGCAAACCAGGTCATCAGACTCTCCTAGAAAATCTATAATTAAGGTAATATGAGATATCATTATACCTAGTTGTGTGCAATCTACTCTTACAGAAGTACATGGTACAGAGATGGTATCAGACGGTAATAGTATCGTACTCTGATATATGCCATGACACTATATGATTACCATATTCACAAACAATGGTATGTCTACAGTGCTAAAAATAGAAAAAAATATGTCCTAAAAATGGATTATTGTAAAATCATATTTTCTGTAAATGTGGCATATATCATATGTCATATATCAAATATCATATTACAGTCCTGCAAAGATGACAGAAAATTTACTCAGAATTGCTGTCCTGCGTCAGTGAATAATGAGATATTTTCGGAAATAAAATCCTGCCAGAAGAATTGCATGAAAACTTATGTATGTTCCAACTGTAGGCTACCATCTTTTATGAAGGTTTCACACATGCGTAGTAAGGCGGATTTAAAGTTTTCCGACGTTTCAGTGTGAATGAGAAACTTTTGGAAAATGCTTGAAAAAGGCTAATGTGGATGGAGAGCACTTTGAAACAAAAACGCCATTTTCAAATGTATCTGGATTAAGGCTGAAATTAAATGGCCCCCAAAGTAATCACATACACCATAATATCAGTGTGTTCCCAACTCAGATTCTTTGTAATGTCAAATTCCTTTTAAAGTCAAGGAAAACATTAGCAGGTACAGACACTACTACATTATGGAAAATGAGAAGAAAGATTTATTCCAGTCAGTATGTTCCTGCCGTGAGAGTTTCCTAGTATTCCAGTAGCATTTTATTACTTTCCTAAGAAAATTTCTTGGCTGCCAAACTCTACTTCAGACCTCAGAACAGTAAGCACAATGATTATTAACAAACATATTTTTAAGTCTAAAAAAAAAAAAAAACACCTTAACATTGAATCATTTTAATGATTTTATGCTGAATAAACACATTGGCAGTAGATCAACTGGGTAGGTGGGTTTTTCCCAGTGAAAGAAAAAGCCGATTTCTCCCTCTGAATAAAAAGAAATCCTACCAAACTTCCCTGTGTAACATTAGCTTATGCGTGACAAAAACAATCCCTTTAATTTTAAGCGCATGTTTTGACCTGTTGGCCGAAGTCAAAGCAGGTTCTGAAGAAAACATTCCTCCTCCAGCCGACACCTCATTAATCAGCTCAGTTGCATTGGAGAAGTGTAATGTCCTATACAAAGAGCTTCCAATTTTTACCTGCACGTACTAGCGCACACACCCTACATGTAGAGTCAAGCCGAAACCCACCTCATTACACATGATTATGGTATGGATTAAAAACAATGAAATCAACACTAATTTGAAGCCCACAAAGACACCGTGGCATGCACACACGGTCAAGTGAGTAGCCAATGATTGTCTTAATCAAATACCAGCCTCAGTTACCCATAGCAACTCTACCTCCGTGCCACATCTCAGTTGCCACAGCAACTTATCACTGAGGGAGAGAGAAACAAGCTGCTCCCGTCTCCCATTGGTAGCTCTGGACTTTCAATCAAACTGAAGCAAAGCTGGTTGGGGGGCTGATGGGTAATAAGCAGCACCATGGACTGGAACTGATACGCAAAATATACAGGGGAAGCTTTTCCGTCAGGGTTTGTTTCTGTGGTTCTGAGATCAAAAGTGTGTTTTTATTGTCTAAGGTGGGAGATTCCTAGTTAGTCTACAAATGAACCATCTGGGTGAAACTCAATGTGTCCTACAGCAAAGAAAACGTCACACTTTAATTTAATAATCTCATATGATGCAACTAACTAACCAACTAGCCAATAGTGTAGTCTCTAATGACCTTTTTTGAAAAATTCCCAGTCCATCTGAAAACCCCTTATCATCAGTCGTGGGCCTGATAGGAAGTGGCAGTGACTCAAACAAGCAGAGAAGCAGACAAAATCATGTCCCTTAAATTAGGTCACTGGCGCATCATTATGATTGACAACCCTTGGACAGGTTGTAAAAGGCCTCTGAAGTAAATCACACTTTCTCAGAATGACACATCAGCTAAACTAGGCTTCCCACACAAATGCAAGTTTTCCTTATAACTGTCCAAATGCCTCCTACACTTGTCAAAGCACACAGAACAAACAGAAACTGTTCAATATGTCCACTTACTTCTATTGAATCTGACAAAGATCTGAAATACATGCATTTAATACACTATTTGGTTTGTGGATGCCCAAATACCACGCCCTTGTTGGCTTTAATAAACAGCTGGTTATTCTTAACAGCTTCTAGTCTCTTGGGAAGGTTTTCAGATAGATGTTGGAACATAGCTGGATTTGCTCCCATTCAGACACGAGAGCATGTTGGGCAAGAAACTAGAAATCTCTCAACCAACGCTTGGGCAATTTTAGGATGCCTACACAGTAGAGAGTGTTTGACGGATATGAATGCGTAAGCTCTGTGTTGAGGGTGTGGGAAGAGCTGTGTTAGGCTGAAATCAAGAGGGAATACAGCAAATTGGTTTTCCTAAAGCTGGAGCCTGAAATTCTCACTGGCCAATGGACGCTTACGTCTGGGGTGATTCTAGGATTTCTAGGTCTTAAGGAGGGCACAGTCCAGTCTCAAAACATGAGCTGATGTGGCTCAGTGGTGTGTCTCTTGCTTTCAGTGCCAGAGAGCACACATTTGAAGAACTAAAATTCAAGTTTTCACTTAGACAAAAACTGAAACCGAAATTAAAATAAGGTTTCGGTAATTCAATTGCGTAATTGGCTTACTGACTTCAGGATGCTGTTCACGGTGTCGTGTTCTCAGGGGATACATTATTTTTTTGTAACAGTGCAGTGTGTCCACACTGCTTACAGAGTTTCCGTCAATGATTTTGGCCCTCCAAAAATTTTTTGGCCATGTATTTTTTCACAGTTTTGGCCTAATATTTTGGGTTGGTGAATTTTTGATGCATCACTATTTAAAATACCATCAGTAGATTCTTATAAATTTCAATAGCAGATTAGGTTGCATTTCATTTTGTGATTTCACTGAAACCAAAACATTGAAATGAGAGAAATGGAGTGTGACAGCTGTAGGCAGGGCAGCACTTCATGCCAAATTTTGCTGCCCTATTTCACCTATGACCATGTCCTCCACTGACTACAAGACAGGATAACACCTAAATGTTAAAAGTAAAGGGAAGATTCATAGTGAGGTCACCTCAGATATCAGGAAGTGAATAGGTCAGCAGTCATATTTGATATTATGTGGCAGAGAACATATTAGGAAATGAGACTTATGACATGACGGAATGTTATTTCCAGACTTCTTTCTTCAATGCAATGTCATAAACAGACATTTTGAATATGATCAAGGTCCTTTAATTGCTCAAAAAATATCACTGGGGTTCAGATCTGGACTTTAGGCTAGTCAAGTTCATCCACATCATTTACTCAGTAAATCATTTGCATAATGACCTCATTATGTGCACAGGGGAGTTTAATACTGGAACAGAAGTTCCTTCCCAAACTGTTGCCACTTCCCACAATTCCCTATAACGTCACTGGATGTTGTAGTGACACATCTTCAAACTGGAATTTAGGAGTCTTGCCAAACGTAATTAGAAGGTCCGCAACCTTTTGGCCATAAAGCTTGTATATACAGCAACATTTCGAATTCAAAACAAACAGGTAATTGTGTATATTTTATAAATCCCTAACATCCAAATCAGTCTTACCCACAGTCTGGAGCTGGACACCATCTGCAATCAGGGTCCGATGCCAGACAGCGGCGCAGCAGAAACTCTTCATACTTCTCCATCAGGCTGGGATCATCCAGGATGAGGGCCACCTGCCTTGGGGCAAGTCGTTCGGCGCACTCTGGACAGCTGAGCTGCACTCGGCTCTCGGTGATCTCGATACGCAAGTACTGCCGTAGACAGCACAGGCAAGACCGATGGCTGCATCCCTGGAGCTCGGGAAGCTGCTCCGCAGGTTGCCGCACTAGGCACAGGGGACACTCTAAGAGTTCTTGACCTCCCAGAGAGGCCTGGCTAGCGGACAAGGGTTCAGCCGGGTCTGCCATTGAGGGGTCTGATGAAACATTAGTGGGCGTGGGGGGCTGGAGAAGCTGCTGCTGCTGGAGCTGTTGCTGTTGGTGCAGCTGTTGTGCAAGAGGAGTTCCCACATTAGCCTTGTTCACCCTGGATCCACGTTTGCCATGGAAGAGACTATGAAAAGAGATCCTGCCTTGCTTCTTGCCCGGCCCTCGGCATTTCGGATTGGGAATGCCGCTAACAGAGGAGTGGGGTGATTCAGAGTCCTTTTCGGATCCCATTTCCCAAGAACTATCGTGTAATGTTCTCCCACTTGAGTCCTTACGAGAGGTCAGCGAGTTTGGGTTAAAGGTGAGGTTTGTGTGAAGCTTCTCAGTTCCTTCCACAGAATGATTTCAACGAAGCTCCAAACCTCAAGGACACGGACACTCCCGATACACAAAAGAATGTTTGTCAAGGTCTCAACAAATTCCAGTTAGTTTACCGTTAGGAACATTCCATTTATGAAGTCATAACTACAACAAGGATTCGTGTATAAAAAACAATAAACGGAAAGATAACTAGACTAACTGAACCAAAAGGGAAAACGATCTTCTCGTAAACAAAGAAAATTGTTGCACGCCAAATGTGTTACAAACTACAAAACTGACAGATACTGTCAATTAAAAATAGGGCGTTTAAAGACAACTAGGAAGTTCAAGTTGTTAGTAAAAAATGAATCTGGCTCAAGACAACGTAATCCTTTCTGAGGGCTCGTCCTCTTTTGGCTCCGCTAAATTCTCTTGCTCGCAGAGCCGAGATGTGTGTGCTCCAGTTTGCTGTTCTCTCTCTTCTGAATCGGCTGGTCTGTTAAGGAAGAGAAATAACACAGGAAGTTAGCACAGCGCACAGACAGCCTGCAGGAGGAGCATGCTCACGTACACACACTCCTCCCTTCTTTTATTCTCAATCTCTTTTCATTTCACAGTTAACGCTTCATTGCATCCGACTCACAAAGTGACTGCCAGACTTAAACCAATTACCAGCCGTTTAAAAATGAGAAGTAATTGATTCTGTAACTTTAACTTGTTAGAAATGGATTTCTCTTATCCCATTTTCTGTCCTTACATCTTGTGTTAGATTTTACTTCTCTCATTTTCTTTGTCTCACTGTTGATGACACCCTCTCATCCACACTCTCTCACACACTCGAGCGCTCCCTCTACACTTCCCACTGCACTGCTAGTGCAGTTGCCATGGAGATTCCCACTATGAACACAGCAAACAAGGACCCTCACAGTGACTCTGGCCCTTATGAACACATATACACACCCGGCAGATATTAACACCATACATCATATAACGCATGAGTGCATGCCTCCACTGGACTTTATTCATTTATTTTTATCTGAGAGCAACATCAATGCTGTACGCAAATGCCATACTGAAGCGGAGGAAATGGTTTTGTAGGCCAGTGTAATCTTTCAATCTCTCTGGTACATAGGCTATTCCTACTCAATAAAAACACATACTACAGCTACACAAACTCATCTAAAACTGATGTGGCCTGGTTTTCTGCTCTGATGACCCTTGGACTAATGCCCGAGTAGCACAAATCTGTTTACTTTTGCGAGGGGGAAGGGAAAGAGACCACCATGCTAGTGTTAAGCTGACAGTCAGTCCGTTTGTTTGTTTTTACAACGGGGGAAGTTGTGGCCTAGTGGTTAGAGAGTCGGACTCGTAACCCAAAGGTTGTGGGTTTGAGTCTCGTACCGGCAGGGATTGTAGGGGGGGGGGGTGAATGTACAGCGCTCTCTCCCACCTTCCGTACCACGGCTGAGGTGCCCTTGAGCAAGGCACCGAACCCCCAACTGCTCCCTGGGCGCCGCAGCATAAATGGCTGCCCACTGCTCCGGGTGTGTGTTCACGGTGTGTGTGTTCACTGCTGTGTGTGTGCACTTTGGATGGGTTAAATGCAGAGCACTAATTCCAAGTATGGGTCACCATACTTGGCCACATGTCACTTCACTTTCACTTTTATTAGTGTTATGAAAACATAGTAGATTGTTAAGTTTGTTAATGGATCAATGACAATGAAGTGTGTCAATGATAAAGGAGGAATTTAAAAAAAAAACATTTTATTAAACCAACTATTTATTATTCAGTGAAGCTGTTTTTTTTTTGTTTGTTTGAACAAATATATGTATCAAATACAAATAATAAAATAGGATGGTTTACTTTTCAAGAACTTCATTCTTTTGTCTTCATTATGATATCAGGATAGGATTTTTTTTTTTACACTTTATGTCCCATAAAAAAAGGTGTATTCAAGTCTCTTTATGGGTGAATTTTTAAATGAATTTTCGCATAATTTAATAGACAAGTAAGCAACATTATGACTATACCACAGACCCCTAAGTTGCATTGTAATTACTGTAATTCCTAGACAACAACTCATCAAAACCACAAGTAACAGTAACAATTATGTACATGCCTTATTAATAAAGTAAACTAAAGGACATTAGACATTAGTTATCCAACTAGCTATACATGTATTAGAATAATCTTGCATTATTAAAACAAAAATATAATGAAATCATTATCCACTTCACTACATTTGAAGCCACAGCCATCTTGAGTGTTTCTGTATAATGTAGTGTCAGGTGGTTCAAGACAGAGCTTTCAGAAAATTCAGTACAAATTGTAATTACAAATTCTTCGAGAACAGGAGGACGGAATCTCGTAATCATGATAATCATGAATGCACCTATAATAATGAACAATGATAGTATTAACACATTCATATGCAATGGTGCTTATGATAGGGTTTTTTTGTTTGTTTTTTAAACATGGTATTATCTAGTATCTAGTATATAAAACAGTATTTACATGGTACATGTTTAAAAAAAAACATTATAGCTGCATTTTCCCACATAAATGGCTAGTTAGCACTGTATTTGACCAAGAGAGTAACAGCATAAAGCCCAGTAAACTAAAGCAGCCTGTTTTCTGCTGCTGTTCATGGATCTGCAAGGTACGCAGTGACAGCAGTCAGTATGACCCACTTTTCCACAGAGTGCTTTCGCATTGCTCACAGCCACTGTGTCCTGATGTCTTGACCCATTCTGACAAGAGGATGCAACAATCATCAAGCACTACGTGCTCTATACTGTACGTGACCGAGAGGTAGTAGACGCACTAAAAATGCAAAAGTCTAGTCGACGGAAACAGGAAAATTCCATACGATCTCAGCTGATCTGCCTACTCTAAACAGGCAGACTGAAAAGGTGGTGTTGAATCATAGCAGGTTAAATGAAAAGGAGTCTCTCGTCTATATATATATATATATATATATATATATATATATATATAACTCAGGGCTGAGATGGTTGGTAATAGCCCTCCATTCCACTTCAGCTTCTGCTAATGCAACCGATGACACAGTTACCATCTGTGCTCTCTGAGGTTTAGTGTGTGTGAGGGATGCTAGCGGGTGCACAACAGTGTTACATCTCGGCACCAGAGCGCAAATTTACAAAGCAGAACCCACTGTATGTGTGTGTGTGTGTGTGTGTGTGTGAGAGATGGGCGTGGCTTCATTGTTGTACAACAGAAGTTGCTCTATTATTTATCAGCTGTGAATGACATGTCGATTCACAAGAAGCTGCTTTCTGCTTACAGTGCTGCAGCTGGAAACTAGCAGCCTGCTTTTTCCATTCAGGAAAGAGTTTATTTAAAAACTTTGAAAACAGTTGGAAGAATCCACAGCATAAGCTCCCAGGCCTTGTTTGATGAAGGATGGATCCCTGTTACCGCGAGTTTGCTTTAGGTTTTATCACTACAGCCAGAGTTTGTAACTAGATGCAAAGTATAAAACACACACAAGAGAGAAAACATCAAAGAGATGTTGATCATGGAGAAAGGGGAAATTCTATATCGGTCTGGGATTTTTTTTGTTTGTTTTGTGGTTCATAGGTGTGAAAAACATGTTCTCACACATTTTTATTTACAACAGGGGATAAATAAGATATTGTAATATAAAATTATATATAAAATAATCATCACTAATAGTCATAATCAAATGTAATATTAATGTTATACTACTAATAATCAAAATGCTTATTAAATTATATAATTGGTTTGTATTGACAAAAGTAATTTACTACATATATTTGGCTTTTTACCTTGCTATTGCAATTGTAGACTCTTAATAATAATTTAATTATGGTATTTAGCATGTAATACTGGGAAATGTACCACAGTGAATTATTTATTTTTGTTTTATTTTATACTTTTTAAATTTTTTTCCCATATTGGCTATATTGAAAATGATGATTATTATTACATTTTTATCTAACATGGACATCACAGTTACATTGGACAAACCATATGCACTTGCTTAAGTGTTTTAGCACACATGCTAATTTTCAATACCAGTCCACGGGAGGCTTTTCAGATAGCCAAAGAAAAAAAATTTTTAATTAATAAAATAAAACCAATAACAGTGTTAACAATAAAAGTAATAATAACGATACTAATAAAGAAAAAGGGAAAAAGAAAAAATATATACCATAAAATTACAAAAAAAAACTAAAACAAAAAAAAAGAAGGAACAATACATTCAAAATGATTTACATATATAAGCTATAAAGCAAAGACAACATAATCAGACAATATCGCAATAATAATTTGGTATGAAGAACTATTCATGTGAGCACTGTTGTTTTGCTGACCAATTCAGAAAACAGTGGTGAAACAAGATTCTTTAGACATTTAAAAAACAATTTGAGATAATTAAAATCAACGAAACAATCGAAGCTAAGAAGGTTATGCTTTCTTAAAACATCACAATGATGCCATCTCATGGGTTTCTGGTCCATAACTTTTATTGCCTGTTTGTATATTGAAATAATAGGCTTTAATTGATTTGGAGAGACTTGTGACCATGATGTGACACAATATGATAAATGTGAAAATATCATTGCATGCATGTATAATTTTGCAGTTTGACATGACAAGTCCCTTCAAATCACACGAAAA